AGAGAGAGAGAGAGAGAGAGAGAGAGAGAACGCAAAGTTGGGTGTGGTGCTGTATGCCTATAAATCTAACAGTTTGGAAAGCTGAGATAAGAGGATCACAAATTCCACCCCAACCTGGGCAATTTAGCAACTTGACAAGGCCCTTTCTCCAAATTTTAAAAATTAAACTAAATTAAAAGAGCTAGGGACTTAACGGAGTGTGACGTTCTAGGTTCTTCCCCTGTGTCTCTCTGTGCCTCTGTGTCTGTCTGTCTCTGTCTCTGTCTGTCTGTCTCTCTCTCTCTCTCACACACACACACACACACGCACACACGCGTGCACACACACACACACACACACACACACACACAGAGGCAATATCCTTAAGCCCAAGGTTTATGGTTACTAATCCAGGAGTATTGTTGTCCAGTAGACAGAGGGAAAGGTGGAAGAGGAGGAAACCTTTAGGAAAAAGAGTGGTGCACCAGCTCACTCCTGGCCTTTGATTTTTCCAGTGATTACGTGCATGGGTTACGAGGCTCTAGCAATGGTGAGGAGAAAGGTTCCAGATGGAGAGCCTGGAACAATGGTCCTGCATGGGCTGGAACAGCTAGGAGGGTCCAGCCTTGGGTGTGCCAGCACCTAATCCAGTGGGCTGAGACGTCACCACACCACTCAGCAACCTGGTAGTAGCACCATGAGGTTGTGGTAAGTGGTAAATTTGAGGTTGTTATAAGAACCAGCGGGCCAGGTGTGGTAGTGCTTGTCCATAATTCCAGCTGCTTTGGAAGCTGAGGCGCACCTACGGCACATATGTTACTCATTTTTCTTTCAAGACAGTGTCAGTGTCGGAGCTGCTTTTTCTAAACTAAAACCTCAGTTTTTAGGGTTAATCGCAGTGTGGGCACCTTGTGCTAAATAAGTGGATTTGGAGAGGCAGCTCGAGAACTCGCCTCTAAAACGCTCCCTATCACTGCTGTGTGCCCTTCCCTTCAAACTGCAACTCAGTGAGAAGGTCCTGGGTCCAACCTCCAGTACCATTTCTTAAAAATAAATAAAAGAACAGGTACAATATGTGAACAATCTCCTTCCCATCCCCACGCATTTTCTGAATGGCACCTAAAAACCTACAATGATTTAGGCAAATTTTCTAAAACCAAATTTGTTTAAATCCTTTACTTTTACTTTTTTTAACCTTATAGTTCATTTTGCAAACGACTTTAGAGAAAGGAATTTGTCTTTAAAAACTCCAAACCCTACCTCTTTGAAGGCATTAGCCTTTCAAAGTTTAGAAGAATTTTTGTATTCATTATGACATTCATTTTCACCACTTTCTTTGTAAGAAGGCAACAAATGGGAGCTTCCAAATCATTCACTGAGGCCAGAGATATAGCTTAGTGGCACAGTGCCTGCCTGGTAGGCACGAGGTCCTGAGTTCGAGTCTCATATCAAAAAGAAAAAGAAAAAGAATTCACCAAACATCTCACTGTGTCTTCCTTGTCTCCAATAGGGTTTAGTTGACTCCTCAAAACCAAGATTTCTGCCAGGGCTTGGAAAGTGTCCCCCAGAGTGTCATGTGGAAAAGCCTGGTCCTCAGCCTGTGCTCCAGGGAGGTGGTAGAGCCTTTAGGACAAGGGCAGGTGGGGGGAAGCTAGGTCGTGGGAGTGAGTCCACGAGGGGGTGTTAGATGTCTTCTTCTGCCTTTGCTTCCTGACTTCTCCGCCACATGTCGCCACCATTGTATACTATACTGCCAACCACAGGCCCAAAGGACGGGGACCCAGGTCAGGAAACCAAGACTAAATCTCTGAAAACATGAGCCAAAGTGAATCCTTAGAAGCTGACTGCTCTCAATTATTTGTTACCGCCATGAAAGTCAACACAACCCCCTGGGACAGCAAGAAATAAGGCGAACTCCCTCTTCTAACCCACAGCAGGAGCAAGACAGTGGGAAGCAAAGGGAGCCACTCTGGTCCTCAGATTCTGTCCTTTCTCAGCGAAGAGGCTCTGTTTTCAGCTGGACGCAAGACCGTTGTAAATGTCATCGCTCCACACCCCATCTGGGCTCCTGAAAGCAAGCTGCCAGACTTCTGAGTCAGATGTCGTCACCCACTGAGAAGCCTCCTGCACAAGTTGGCTGGCAGCAAGGCCCCGCCTCAGTGGGCAAATTCACCTATCTCCCTTGGCAAAGTGGCCCCTGTGGTTTTGGGCCATCGTGCCTTCGGAGAAAGGAAGCGAACAGAGATGGCAGCGGCAGTGGCAGCAATAAGAGCCATTTCATCACTGGGTCTTGAACATTTTCCTCACATGCAGGGTCACAGGAAGGGTCACGTGAAGCACTGCCATGTTCAGGGGACTCCTAGAAGGGACAGAAGGAAGTGTGTATAGCAATATACGTCATCAACAGACCAAAACAAACATCATCACAACTACAGTCCAGAGCTTCAGATGGCGACTCACGACGGACAGGAGGGGAACTGGCCCTGGGCCAGTGCTGAGCAAAGACACTGAGGGGTTTTGGGAAGGAGTCTACAGATGAGAAAATAGAAGAGGGGCTTCTTTTGGTCTTCCCGCTGATCCTGACTAGAAGGAGCTAAAGCTAAACTTTACCAGAGAGATTCTCTGGGAAGCAAGTCAAAGACAGGAGTAAAAAAAGGGGGGAAAAAAAGATTTTTTTTTAAAAAGGCACCAAATGGCCTTGGGACTTGCATCAAGAGATTAGGAAAAAAAAAAAGAAAAGAAAAGAAAAGAAAAGAAAAGAAAAGAAAAGAAAAGAAAAGAAAAAGAGCTGACAGGCAGAACACAGAGAAAAAACTAAAGCCACAAATTATAAGCTGCTCCACTTCCCAAAAAATGTAGGAGAAGCAAGGAGGGGGGGTGACTAACTTTAAGACAGTGTACATTGCCCCTGTGGACTGACATATCCACATATCCACATTTGTATTCACTCTAGAGGCACTATGATATTCACTCTAGGGTCATTACAGAGTACAGTAGACATCCTCATGTTCCCTGACGCTAAGCTAACCAAGAATAAGGTGCCCCCTTGCCAGCTAACCACCCACCCATAGATAAGGCCTTGAAAGGTAGGTTAAAGGCAATAAATGGACCACCAGAAGAAATGACACTAGGCAGAGGTGCCTAGAAGCCCATCCTGTTATGGCAACTTTGTGGTGGAAGGGAAAGGGTCATTCACACCCTTACAAAAACAGCTGGGAATAAAGGGCC